ATATATATATAATATATTATATATTATATAATATATATATAAATATAATACATATAATATATAATATATTATATTAATATGTATATATATATATATATATATATATATATATATATATGTGTGTGTGTGTGTGTGTGTGTGTGTGTGTGAAAATATTAGAAAATAGGAAAGAACTCATTAGGTAAATAATTTTTAGTATTTTGTTATTATTTTTTAAAAATAGTGCTCGATAAAAGTAGAGCATAAATATAATTATTTATTTAAAATATGATTAAATATGTTATATAAGAGTTCTCATGTTTCAAAACAAGAGCTGAAAACTGCAACATAATTATTTGAATTAAATTGAATTAAAAGTACTAAGTTTGGAAACATAAGAACTCTTATGTAGCATGTTGAATCATTTTTTAAAAATATATATATATATATATATATATATATATATATATATATATATATATATATATATATATATATATATGGGCACATGATCAAGAGGTGTTATTTTTTCAATAAAAAGAAACACATGTTCAAATTTTAATGTGATTTTCAGAATTTTTATATATTCTATCTCTTGCTTTCAAGACAGACCTACACCTGAAAATTATAGACCATTCCCATTTTTAAAAGGTGGGAAATTCAGAAAATTAGCTGGGGAAAAAATACTTATTTTCCCACATTGTATAGTGTGTATACATATGTGTGTGTTTGTAGTGGAGAGTGTATTTATAATTGAAACAGAAAAAAAGTTAAAGAAAATCTACTTTCATAGCATTTCTCTCAAATCTGAACTGAAATTTATCGTCATTTAATCTAGGGAAAACTTTCTTAAGGAATAACAAATTACAGCAAATTTTAATTTTTCCAGATGGTGTGCCATATTTAAGTTGGAAATGTAGATCTAAGTGATAAAAAAAGAATAGGATTTCTTTTTGGTTCCTGGATCTGAAAAAAATTTTCACCACTCAGTTTATCAAAATTATCAGCTTGGATAAACCTTATAAGCATTTTTCATTTTTTTCTAAATCTAAAATTAGACTGTTCACCTCTTTTGCTCTTCTGTTTAAAATTTTATCAAGTTTTATTTTTCAAATGTCAAAATGACAAATTCAGTTTATACAAGTGTAATATTCTGGCAATTTTGTTTGTGGTTCATTATTAAAAAATTTGATCTTTGATCAGGGACATGTGTCATGGATATTGCAGTTGTGTCATGTGGAATAAGGCCTTTATGCTTAGAGTCTTTGCAGGCATATCTCGTTTAGGGTTTGTAAGAAAGTTGTCCAATGACCACACTCCCACACATGCATGCATGCACAAGTTGGAAATATAAATTAAATCCAACAGAATGATTAAATAAAATCAAGTGAGAAAATCTTTATAAATTTTGCATTATTTACATTTGGACTATTGTTCTCATCTTTGTTGTCATTATTGGCTGTTGTGCATTCTAGCACCCATCAGGTGCATGTTGATTCAGGTAACTTTCAGGGAATTTTGAGCTGAACCCTTTATTTAATCAACTGAGGTTGTTCTTGTTACACTGACAATGACTAGGGGTATCTTGTCTTTTTCTTATTTAGTACTCTTTGGCTATTGATTGCCCTGTTTTTAAGTGCAAATTTAATATGCTTCAATATTTATTTAGTTTCATCAGAAACTTTGGTGAGGGGAGAAGGAGAAAAATATAGAGTTATGTTTCAATTTTTAAATTCTGTGTTGCTTTGTTTCCATTTGTCATGTAGATGTTACATATCTTATGACATTAGTGCTTATGTATGTCTCAATTTTTAAATTCTGTGTTGCTTTGTTTCCATTTGTCATTTAGATGTTACATATGACATTAGTGCTTATGTATGTCTCAATTTTTAAATTCTGCATTTCTTTTGTTTTCATTGGTTGTGTGGATGTAATGTTTATACTGCTTCATATCTGTTTGTATGTATAATTTTATAATATATAAATATCTGTTCTACCAAACAGCTGCTTTCACAAGCATCCAGCAGGACCTGTGGAAGATAGAAATCTCTGATTCAAGGCTTTGATGCTTGTAGTCTTTGTTCACCTATGGACTTTGTTGCTTGGGATGAAATCCTGGAATGCATATCACTAATAATTCAGATCATACATATTCATGTAAAACAATTTTGTCTCAGAATCAGAAGCTGAAATGTAAGTTGTTACATCATAATCTTTAGGCAAGTTTCTTTATGTGTATCAATAAATTAAGTACAATGCCAGTAATGGTAAGATTAGCCATTCACATATAAGGAGTCATTCGACTGAACATTTAGCATTACATTCAGTAGAAATTTATAAATTCTTTCTCTTAAAATAATCAGAAAAAATAGGTTTCCCAATTTTTTTTTAATAATCAATTTTATCCCAAGCAAGGTAGTAAAGCCACTAAGTCACATGGGGTTACTGTGTGTGGAAGAATTAGAAACTGAAACATTATTAATGAGCAGGAAGAGAAAAGAGTAATCAGGAGGGCAGTAGATAGAGATTGACATTGCATTTAAATTTTTGGAGATTAATGTTGGCTGGAAAGCATGGAGCAAGAAGTGAGTTCTACAACTGAGAAGTGTGAGAAAAGAAACTGTTAGAATAGAACTTATGGTTACAACTGGCTAGCTCAGCTGTAAATTGATAAGATTTCAATGCCAGTCTAGTGTAGTCAGTTTCTTCTGGGTTGTAATGAAGTCCTCTACTTCAATACCTTCAACCAACAGAGTAGCATAAGTCAAACAATCCAACAAATACTCCAGTCTCCTGTTTGCTACTGCAGTTGCATTTTGGTATTTATCAAAGACTCCCCACTGAGTTTTGGATGCGACACAAGGTGAGTTATTTAACATGGGGAATCTGAGCATGGACACAAGGACACTTTTATGAGGCATTGGGCACAAAGACAGATTGGACACAAAGACACAATCTGAGCATGGACACTAGAGCCACATTTATGCGGCATTGGACACAAAGCTTTTCTTAGCTTGACATGGCCATGGGACAGATACTACAATATGCTCATAATCTCTGGACCATGAACAAGTTGTGACTTTTCTTGCTTTTACCTCTTTAAACACTTTTTATAGATTGAGTGACCTGTCAAATTAGCATAAGTAGAAAGAGAGTTTTTTTGAAAGATCTGGGATTTATCTTTGTTTAAATATGTGACTTATAAAGCCACAATTTTCTTTTTGGGAATATTTTACACATGGGATATGTTTGAATCCTTTTTTGTCTGGAAGGTAAGCTATTTTCTCTGCACTTAAATTCAAATGTCTGGGTACCATAGTGAAGATCTCATCTGAACAATTACCATGAAAATATTTATAGGAAAGGAACAGGGAGGCAATCTTATGGCAGTGGGATTTTCCACTGTTACTGTTCTTTCTAGTATCGATTGGAGTTTCTTTCCTAACCTTTTGTTTAAGGTAATGTGGGCGGTCAACATCTTCCTGATGTCATCACTCCCCACATTTCTTCCCACTTGAAAACTGAACCTTTCAAAAGCAATTGGCTCTACTTGGCTTGAAAGACTTGTAAATTTAATTTACTTATCATGAATGCCACTCCTACATATAGATAAGAGGCTAATACTTTTTATGGCAGAAAAAATCTTTATTTTCTCTCCAGTGGCCAAATATAGCCAAGAACAGTGGGAACACTGGCTTCTAAAATCATTTCAATGTTAAAATGTTGGCACACAAACTGAAAATTGATTGTTTCACGCCTTTCTATGCATTGCAAAATGGGGATTACATTATATATGAAAATAAAATATCTTTATACTTTTTATACATAGCTCCATTACAGATGAGATTGTATTGTACAGGATGAATAAATACAGTAATTTTCAGAGTTATTTGTTCTTTAAAAATAAATTCTACATTTGCTTTTATTCTTTGTGATCTTTATGATTGGGAAGTGAATTGAAGATATAAGAATTCAGTCTACAATAACATATAAATAATCATGTAATTTACTTCATTTGATCTTCATTTGCTTTGTTATATTTTCTGAATTTCTGATAATTTTAGACTGAAATAATAAACAAGAAATTCATTTATTTTCTAACAACTTAAAATGATTATATTCAGTAAAACCTATATTAATATATATATATATATATATATATATATATATATATATATATATATATACACACACACACACACACACATATATATATATATATATATATATATATATATATATACATATATATATACATATGCACTACATGGTGACTGTCAGTGTCACACTTCAATGCAATCTTATTTGTTCCTATGCAATGTAGATTCCTATACATATATATATATATATATATATATATATATATATATATATATATATATATATATGTGTGTGTGTGTATATATATATATATATATATATATATATATATATATATATATATATATATATGTATATATGCAGATAATAATATGGTATATATGATAAAAGAAAATAAATAGGGATGTATTGTCATGAATATCTAAGGAAATTAAGCCTTTAAAAATGGTATAATCATTGTATTTTCCTGATATTTTTTCTTCAGAAATAGAATCAAGAGCAATTTCCCAACAACTTCAGATTCAGGGTGCAATGATTTCTTCACTTTACAGACAATATATGACAAGCACTGACTTTGTTCTGAAATGAAATTTGTAAATATATAACTTTCAAAAGGACACATCATTCAGAAACTCAATAATTTTTCTGTAAAAGGCAAAATCTTTGAGCTGTTACTGAATATTACAAGTGGAAAACAATAACAACAACAGACAAGTTGGTGTCGTCTGTTATTGATTCTTAAAAGTATCTTTTATTTTGGATATTTTTTTATATTTCTTTCTTTTTGAGTGTGCATATCTCTGAGTGTGGGTTGGTTTATTCTGTGAGGGAATCAGTTTGGAATAAGATTGTGCTTGAGATGAGCTTTTTTCTTCCTTTTTTATGACCTTTTTTTTTTAGGCAGTGAATCTTAGATAAAATCAAGGCAGATTGAAGCCGGCAAATAAACAAAGGAAAAGAAAATGCAAGGTTGAAAGAATGGAAGTAGAAAAAAGAAAAAAGAATATGAATTGGAAGAAAAAGAGAATAAAAAGTAGAAAGGGGAGAAAGAATGAAAACAAAATGGAAGAGAAAAAAAGGAAGAAAACAATGAAGACTGAAATAAAAGGAAAGGATGAAATTTGAAAGAAAATGGGTAGATGGAACCTGGAAGAGAAAGCAGATTAAAAAATACAAGAGAGAGAAAAAGAATGAAAACTGAATGAAAGAGACAAAGAGAGAGGATGAAAATTGAAAAAAAAAACAAAGAATATGAATCTAAAGAAGAAATGAAGAAAAAGTAGAAAAGTGAAAGAAAGAATGAAAAGTGAATAAAAGAGAAAACTTGGAAGAGAAAGAATGAATCTGAATTGGAAGAAAAAGAAAATAAATCGTAGAAAAGAGAGAGAAGGAATGAAAGTGAAAAACAGGAAGAGAAAAGATAAACATTGAAGGAAAGGGAAAGGGATGAAAATTGAAAGAAAAAATGAAAAATTAAAGGAAAAGAAAGAATTGAAAGAGAAAAACAGGAGAGAACATTGGAAAATCAAGAAAGAATAAAAACTGTAAAAAATGAAGAGAGAAAGATAAACAAGATGTAGTGAAACATTGAAGCAAATAAAGAAATCAAAAAGGAAGAAGAACTGGACTGAGTTGGAACAAAGAACAAAATTATGGTTAAGGTTGTTACATTCAATTACTCATTTTACACTAAGACTCTTAGGAAATGTATGGATCCATCACTTCTCCATCCAAGCTGTGTATGTAAATTAGAAGAGTAGACATCAATAGAAGAAGAAAAATCTATATCTATGTGTCTTCCCTCTCTTCCTCTTTCTCAATATATATATATATATATATATATATATATTTGATAAAAGTATAAGGTATGCTATAATTATGGTTAAAATGCTCAATTTCAGAGGTAGAGCATATATAAATATAAAATATAAAGGGATACTGGAGGTCAACACTGAGAGGAGACTGTTTCATGCTTATGGGACATAGGCCTGAAGACATGGCCAAAGGTTGCACTTAGTATGAAATAGACAAATGCCTTTGGTGTTGACCTCAGTATCCACATATATATATATATATATATATATATATATATATATTGAACAAAAAAAATATTAAAAAATTAAAATCTTTTAGACACTGGGTTGTAGATTAATATTCTTTCATTTTTTATTATTATTTCATTTAGATTCCAGAAATTCAGTTTCGCCAAAATGGCCATCACCGGGAGAAAAATCATTTCTGCTTGCTGGTCATATACACACACACATATATATATATATATATATATATATATATATATATATATATCATATCGTTTTAAAAAAGATTTCCCATCAACCAACCATTTCATAGTGTCAATGACATCAAATGCATACTTTTTAAATTGTATTCAACAGCCAAGAAGAAAGATGCAGATTGAGTTGAAAAATAGTTTCAAAAATAAATTCAAACATTGAGGGGATTAAACAGGGATTTGGGCACACAAGAGAATTTAAGTTCCACAGTGAGACGTTTAACAAAATTCCTCAGAAGAGTAAGTTAACTGCTTTGTTTATTCCATGTATTGTTGAAAAGAACATTCTGTTTAAACTATCTCTTCAGGCTTTGATTCAGTACGGGGTTAATATACAACAAATATCAATTTTATTTATCATTTTGTCAGCTTTTTTATTCTTTGACTTTTATTAACAGGCCTATAAAAAATACACACACACACACACATATGTATATATATATATATATATATATATATATATATGTATATAAATAAAAAAAGAACAGTAAGATATAAATCCGTGTTCTTATAGATATTTTATTTTACAAAACAGTGCTCAAAAATTTACAGAGTATTAATATTATAATTATTGATTGAAAGCAATTTTATTTTTTTTTAAATAAATTATTCTATTTCATGCCGTAAAAAATTTTAAAAGTTACTCCAAAATTCGCTTGAAGATGAATTGAACTAATGCTTTTAATTTATTTGCAAAATAAAATTAGGGTTTTTAGCTTCTATTTTTGAAACATGGTTGGAACTGTGTAGCGAAAAATAACCATATTTTAAATCAATTAATTTATATATATATATATATATATATATATATATATATATATATAAACACACACATTGGGGCACTGGGTCTAATGCCCAAATTTACATTTATTCAACTTTTTTACATTAAATAACATTTAAAAAACAGTCAGACATTATTTATTTTGACTAGTAGCTCTATTATCTTAATTTCACTTTTTTTTTATTGCAATACTGAACTATCAGTTTACAGTTGTTACTAAAAGAGACTAGAGTAGAAATAAATAGAGGTATGGGAAGTCTGATTTATGATAAAAGCATTTTTTTAGATTAAAGTAATTTCAGTCAAAATTAATATTGGCTGAAAGCACATCATCTAACAATGGTAAAAATTCAGTCTAAAGAAATATCAGAATATATCTTGTCTAGAATGCCAGATTCTTTTAAACAAAGAATAAAAGAATCAGTTTTATAGAAGGTTTTTCTTTTGCCAATAATGATTAAAGTATTTCTTTGAAAAATAAATTCACCTCTGAAACTGAGAATTCTTCATCTGAATTTCAAATGTCTGACTTTTTTTATTTTTGTCTATAAGCAAAGAAAGCTAAAATACCCACAATTTTATTAACATTTTATTAAAATCTGCCAGTTTTATATTTTTCTGATTAGATTTGTAGTTTGTTTTCTAAATGTTCTTTGTCATTAATTCATCTTTTTTTCTTAAATCTATTTTAGATTAATGAATCCAGTTTATATTTCTGTTTTGTTGAATTATTTTTTTAAATTATGATCTGTGGAAAAATCATTATAAAAAACCTTCAAGAAGATAGCTATAAGTTATAAACCTATAAAGTGTCTTTTTTTTGATTTGGTAGATTACAGTGTTCAAAAAAACTTATGTTCAAGAGAAAGGTTTTGAAATTGATGTCAAAACAAAAAGGCATCTTGGAGTCATGCAAACCTGAAGTAATGTTCATCAAAGTGTACAGCTTGAAATAACAGTTTTCACTGTTCACAATCACCTGATACCACCATCATATGATTTGCAAGGATGTCAAAACTGACATAAAAAATCAATAGAAATCCTGCAAACACTTCAAAAATATGTCTATAGTGCAATATTACAATTCTTGTTATACACAATGTTGGTAACAGAACAAAGGATAATTCTTGTTATACACAATGTTGGTAACAGAACAAAGGATAACTGACCAATATTAAAAAGAAAAAAAAACTTTAATGACACTTTTTACTAAAAGTTTTCCCCAGTAGGAAAAAAAGATTGCCTGAATGCAATAAAAATTAATTATTTTTCCTGCTAAGATGAGTACAATCTATTTCACATTTTACATGCATTGATTGTCAAATAAAGCTTTTCCATTTGCTCCATCTTCTGAAAGGTCTGTTTTAAAAGGTCACTTGATCTATCAATCAAGTGAGCTTTTGCTTCATCTATTATTCTTTCTTCTAAATTTGTACCCCACTTATTTCCACGGTCTGTCACTTAATCTCTAATATAATTTTCATCATGGACAGTTCTCTGAGACATGCCATCCTCTTTTTATCTCTTCCTCTTGGACTACTTTTTCCATTGATCTTGGTGTATTTTGACATTTGCTTTCAAGTGATTTTGTTGGTTTTCATGTTGTATCTGCCATATATAATTTCTAGGATCAGATTCCTTAGTCTCACCACCCCTAACATTTGCAACTGCTACGTCACATAGACAAGTGTAAATCATCCCCATTGCCTTTGTATTCCAAGAGTAAAAAGTTCTGTATGGACAATTTCTTCTAAAGAACTGCTGTTTTGTGGAATGTTTTCCCAATCACTAGAATCTTAATCTCTTCAAATCTATGGTTAACCATTATCTTTCCAGCATAACCCCAAGAACTTCACTTCTTGCCTTTCCTTATACTCATGCAACTCCACACATTAACCATCTACCTTGAGTGACTCTTGGGTCTTGTATTGCGTGAACATTAGTATTAAAAAATGTTTATTATACACAGGGCATAGTGTAGAGAAGAGGAACAGAAGGAAACAGTGAGTGACAGAGCAAAGAAGCTAAGCTGTAAATGGATGGCAGAGTAAAGACTGGGAGAAATGGTGAAAAGAGAAACATTGTTAAGAGCTAGAAAGGATACAAAGTTATGGAGAGCCATGATTGCACACATCCTAAAGAGACATGGTACATAGAAGAAGAAGAAGAAGGAGGAGGAAAGGAAGGAGGAGGAGGAGGAGGGGGAAGAAGAAGAAGAAGGAGGAGATGGGGAGAAGGAGGAGGAGAGGAAGGAGGAGGAGGAAGAAGAAGAAGAAGAAGAAGAAGAAGAAGAAGAAGAAGAAGAAGAAGAAGAAGAAGAAGAAGAAGAAGAAGAAGAAATGACAAACTATAAGTTAAAAGTGGTACTTTATATACACAACCACTATTTGGAAAATGTACCTGAGGTGCCAGAAGTCACACAACTATTTCTTAAATATCAAAAGCTCAAATGTAGTACAAATGCTAATGTTATCTAGATTGTTTTTAATCCAAAATACTGGACTTACTAATAAAATACTTCCTGAGTTAACAGAATTTCTGGAGAAGACATACTGCTAAAATTCATTTCCTTCTAATTGGAACAAAGATGGCACCAATATTATAAGAATCTCTTACATCAAATAGAAATGAAATAAAAGATGTTTTATTAAAATCAGACAATGGATTACTGAGATAGAGTTTTTTATAACTTCCAATCATGTTAAATGATAATTTTTTTATTTTTCTGATGCAGGTTGATTATTTATCAGCATCAGAAGTGAAAAGAAATATCTTGTGATGAAACAAAAGCCTATAAAATAGGACAAAAGAAAAGCCATCTAAAATTAATAATATTTCACAAGCTGTTCAGATAAATGTTCACATTCTTGTTTGTTTTTAAAATAAGTAAGTTTATACAAACTTATGTCAGACATTTAAAATGATGTCTGACAAAAGGTTGTATAAACACAGTGTTAAACATGAGATAAAGCCATATGATTTCTTATGCCCTGTCCATTCAGTATGTAGATGATTATGGCTCTCCACAAATTCTTTTTCTTTATTATCTATGATTTGCCATGAACTTTTGGGAAAATAGTTGAGTCATTACCATTGCTTTCTCAATGTTTTAGAATTCAGAGTTTTTCTTCTTTTAGACTGGCTGCCAGCTGTAGAAGATGGCACTGGTGTGAAAGAGAATGTAGAACACTAGGAATTAGAACTCAGTTTGCCAATTTTATAGAGTACATATTTCAATAACTCTCTGAGTTTTATTTTTATTTTTGTGATTAAAAAAGCAAAGATGGGCAAATTAAATTGAACAAAACATAATTCAACAATTATATGCTTAAAAAATAAAAAAAAATATATTCTTTTTGAATAATCTAGAAAAGTTTTTTGGTAAGGGTCATATACTGCAATAAAATATTGCAAAATCACTAATTTTTGATCGTTTATGTTCATTCCTTTTTCCATAGGCATTGATTTCTCATTAAGATAAACATGCACACACATGTACCCACAAACCCACACACACTACACAAATGTGAAAATCAAAGTGAAGTTGAAGTTTTTATATCATGTCTCTTCAGGATGTGGTGATCACGACTCTCTATAGATTACTTTTCATCATTATCTGTAAATTGCTATAACTTCTTAAAGATAATGGTGTGGTTGCTTATTGTCTGCTCCACAGTTTTGAACTCAAAATTTTTGTTCTCAGACTGGCTGCAATGCAAGTCTAGAGAGGCCAATCTATCTAACTATTTAACCCTGAGAAAAGAGATGTATTCATGCTTTTCCCAAGAGTATTAGTATGAAAATGTACATAGCAGACTAGTTCAAATTTTGAACTTATTTTGCTGATCCCACTTTCTATATGAATAACTGTTATACTACTTGCAGATCATATGTTTAGTAAAACTAACGTAAAGTTAAAAAAATATGGTATCACTATTGTGAGAAAATCAGAATATATGTTGATAATAATTAATATAATCTGGATAAGGGGTCAGTTGTTTTCCTCCTTAACTCCTGACCTTATTTTACCTGTATGAATATCTGACCCCAGATCAATTTATAACTGCTGGCCTATTAGATTAATTATAGAAGCAAGGAAAGCTGAACTAAGCATTTGTAATAACATAAAACAGATAATATTAAAACAGATAAAGATTATTATTTTAAACAATTTGTTTGAAAATATCAGACATTGTAGAAGGTAGAAGAGTGCATTGGCTGAAACCCAGGATGACAGTAGTAGCCTGAATAGCTTGTGAAAAATTGCTAATCACTCATTTGAAGATTTTAGATAATGAGAAAGGCTGAAGAATGCATCAGCCAAGCATAGATGAGAATGATCTAACTATAAGATAATAATAATGACACATCTGAAAATTTCAATGAAGAAGGCTGAAGAATGCATCAACCAAAACAGAATAATAAAAAACCTTCAAGGATGAGAATATTAGTCTAAACATCAATGATAATAACTTGTCTGAGAAATTGAGACAATATTTATCCAATTTCTTCAGCAAACTTTAGATTTAAACCTGTCTTAGTCACCTTGGATTTTTGAAAAGTGCCTCCCATGACAACTGAACTACAACTGCACCACACTGCATGTTACATGGCCTACTAAGTGAGGGAGAGTAATGGGAGGGAGAAAAAGAAACAAGCTTCCAACTAGGAATTATGAGTACTTTAAAAATTTGAGGGTAGAAGGATGCAAGAGATTGCTGGGTATTAGAGAATATGAGAAAAACTACTATTAAGGAGAGAGGAAAAAAAATGAACAGGAATTAAGAAAACAGAAGATAATGACTGATATTGCATTTGAATTTTTATAAAATCAATGTTGACCAAGAATCAAGAAGCCAAAAGAGAGAAGTACGATAGAATAAACTGTTAGCATAGAACTTACAGTTTCATCTAGCCATTTGAACTGTAAAATGATGAGACCTTGCTGCTAATCTAGTCCTACAATTAAATTCATAAAGTCTAGGTATGATAGCAGAAAGTTCATCAGAACAATTACTATGAAACATAGAAAATGTTCAGACATGCTTAATTGCTTAGTTCCACGAGTTCAGACCTTCACAACTAGGATCTACCATACTATGTATACAGAGTTGACACATCGTCATTCCCTTTGTCTTCCATGGGTAAGGAAGAAATTCCACTCAAACGGCTTCTTCCCCAGAATTGTTACATTGTGGAACAGACTCTTGAAAGATTTCCTTAATGACTACACTCTTAACCTCTTCAAGTCTAGGGTTAGCCATTACCCATGCTACATATCCTCAAAATATGTACCTTTTACTCACTCCTCGTCTGCACTTACAACAGTCTAATTCAGTAGCCATCTACCTTGATTGGCTCTTGGGCCTTTCACTGGTGGAAGAATAGTATTAAAAAATTACTTGCTGCAGTTTTTTGGTTCAACAGAAGGATGCTGAGAATACCATGTGAGTAAACAATGACTGAGCAATGATAAAGTTTTAAACAAAATGATAAAAAGAGATGAGACGCAGTACATAGAAGAAGAATTCATACTTATCATTTTGATACATTCTACATCATCAAATTTGACCTACCTAACAAGCTTATGTAAATGAATGGCAGAATAGTGACTGGAAGCAATGGTGAAAGATAGATATTTTCTTGTTGATCAATCTATTTTTCTTACTTATAATCACTTTCATTTTTCTCAAATCTATCTTCCAGTTTTGTTTTTCAAAATTTTTGTTCTTCACTCAATAATTTTATAACATCTTGTTTTTCTTATGAGGTCATATCTTTCTTATGACCCTTGGTAATGGTAATGATAATATTAGCCATTTCCTTTAAGGAAACATTCAGCATTTATTGCCCAAGTAGCGTGTACTACTGTCGGCTGAAATTTAAAAAATCTTTCTTTTAAAACAAATTTTCAGAAAAACAGATTTCTAAAGTCCAGTAGCTGTTATCACTCTTTCCACTATTTATGGGTTAACTTTTTATTTGAAGTAGTGGGGAAGTCAACATCTTGACTATGTGACTGTTTTTTCTTTGAGTTACATGTGATATCTATTTCAGCAGTTGCTTCTATTGAAAGTCTGCAAATGATGTGGTTTCTGTTATTTGGTAAAGTTCTTTGTGATTCTGTAGCGATTCTTCTCTCACTCAAAGCCATTTTTGACCATTGATTTTATAAAGCATTTGTATATAACTGACAGTTTAGATATTTATGGCAATGTTAATGTGCCTGAAATTAAAAAAAAATATTTGACTTATCATATAAATACAAGTATATATCCTGAGAATATTAACAAAATTACTTGGTTTAAATAATTTTATTGAAAGCCTTATGAAGTCTCTCATAGTTCTTATAGATATACAGGATGCCACGGGTAAATTGTCACCATTTTATATTTTTAATTTCACACATGTGCATTGTCTTTTTTTTGTATTTTGTCAACTGCACAGTATAATAGGGTCAGTTGGGCACCATCTGTGAGAAAAAGAGCACCATAACACAATTCACTTTGCTAGAAATTTAGAAACAGGATGCTGTACTGCTTGACATTTATGCTGGAATCTCTTATACAAACATTTCAGAATATTTGGGTGCCAATCTGAGAACAGTGAAGAGGATTCTGAAAGAGTTGGATGAGTCTAATGGTGATTAAGAAGGTGTTTGGAATGATCACTAATGATGGCGACATTATGCCTCCATTCATCTTCCCACAGGACTTCAAACACAGAGGCCTACATCAAGTACCTTGAGGAGGTAGTACTACCATGGGTCAATAGGCTGGCTGCTGGAAGACCCTATGTCTGGCAACAGAATTCTGCACCATGCTACATAAGCAGAAGAATCCAGTTATGGCAGTTAGACAATTTCTGCGACCATATCCCACCTTACCTGGCCACGTTACTCCTCAGACTGTAACCCCCATGATTATTATGTGTGGGGCACAGTTGAGAGACTAACAAAACTCCTTGTAACACCAAAGATGAACTGAAGGCAAGGATTATGGCAGCATTCACCAACTTAAATAAAAAAAATTGTCCAAATGTTTTATACATCCAAGCACTTGCCATTTTAGTAAGTAAAATATAAGATGGCAATAGTTTTTACTTGTAGATTTTACCCACAAGTAAAAACTCTTGCCATTTTAATTTTACTCAGATATAAAACAGGTTTTATTAAAAATTTCCTTGTGTGAAAGCAAGTGAATTCATCCTCTCATCTGCTTTTTTTTTTAAGAACTTCATAACATGAAACACATACTTGTTAATAACAGTTTTCAAAGCCAAAGAAAAAACCCAACACTCAATAATATCAACTATGAAAAATAAAACATTCCCATAACTCTAGATACATACATAAAACAATGCATATATTCAGTTAAAAGTAAAATAAAATTCATCCTTGATAATGGCTAAAACTATAGCTGAAAGTGCTTGGAAAACATTTGGACAATTTTTATATAATTTATGTCCTGAAATGAAAAAAAATTATACAAACACATAAAAATGTTTTCAACAGAAATTTTTTATATATATATATATATATATATATATATATATATATATATATATATATATATGAATATATTACACACACACACACACACACACACAGACACACACACACGTGTATGTGTGTGTGTGTGTGTGGATGTGTGCGATGATGTAATGGTGATCAGCTTGGAGTGAGAACTCTGAGAGCCAAG